CTTTGTTATGGTGGGGGGGAGGGGGGGGGCATACGAAACTTTGCTATGGGGCCCTGTGATTTCTAGTTACGCCCCTGGAATAACCCTATAAATATTTAAAAAAATATTTTTAAACATTTATCACAATTTATTAATAACATAAAATGCATAAAAAATATAAATGACTAATACAATAATTCAGGTCAAACTCCACATTTAAACCATGAAGAAACAATACTTCAGTCTTATAAATCCACTTCCCTTCTTGTTTAGATAATTCCCTGATTCTATTTGAACCTCTCCAGTGTGAAAAACCTTTTTCAATCACAAAAATGGTAAACCTCTAGGATGTTTATTATGTTCTTTGGCACAATGTTTAGATATGGAATGTTTTTGTAACCTTTCTTAATATTATAAACATGTTCTTTGATCCTCACAACAACTAGAGGTCTTACCTATATATTGAACACGGGTACTGCAATATATATATTAGACCTTATGGTAAGAAATAAACTCTCTAATACTGTATTTTCTTTCCGTTTTTGCTCCTATTTTTTCTTTTCTCCGTCTGATAATATTCTGTTTCTTTACAGGGCAAATATTTTCCGCACCCATAAAAACCTTTACCTTCAGGGCCCATTCACACCATGTCCAGATCATCTCCAGACCAGACCAGATTGTTTCCGGACCCAAAGTGCATCCTAATGTATTACTATGCTATTTCTGCCCTCTGTTCACACCAGCGCAGTCCGTTCTAGACCAGACCAGAAAAATACTGTTTGTTTTATTTTGTCTGGTCTGGAATGCACTAGAACGCATCAAAAACACATGAAACGCACTGGAACTCACCTGTAAGACCATTTTAAGTTAAAAATAAAATGAAAAAATTCCAATCGCAGCAAAACGCAATGCACTGTGTTCCAGATCTGGTCCGGAAAATGGTGTGAACCTGCCCTCACTGTTTTAGTTTTATCTGGTGGATCAGTCACACTCTTAATTTATCTCTTAAGTTTGGGGCTTTTTTTTATATACAAACTGAGGTTTTTCGGACAGAATGTTATTTAACTGTGGATCTTTCCTCAATATATTCCAATATTTCTTGAAAATCTGATTCACGCTCTTATATTGCTTACAGGTATTGCTGCTGCCACCATTTTTAACCCCAGTCACAATGTGTCTATTAATGAAGAACAGCTGCGAGTGGCATTTGATGGAGACGCTGTTCTTTTTTCTGATGAGTCTGAGCAGATAGTGAAGGAACATGGCTTAGATATGTTCTTTGAACATGAGAAGGCATTTGAGAACAAACCACTGGCGCAGGTACTGGCATCTTTGTATTACCTAAATGGATACTTTCTCAGGCCTGTTCTTTTAACTGAGATTTGCTTATAATGGGCTGTGGTAAAGGGGATTTTCCTGATAAATCAAAGCTAAAGCATAACTCCAGTTGCACATCCAAATACACTCCATTACCTGTTAAAGTATCTGCAATTCTATTCAGCCAGTCTGGTGATTCAACACTGCACAGCTAGGCAGGTGACAATGAACAATTAATGAGCATCAAAACTTCCACTGAGCATGCTGGAAACAAAGAACTAGCACAGGAAGTTGTAAAAAGGGAAACACAGGGATCATGTTCATGGCTCCATGATATGATCAAGGTATGTGACCTAAAAGACTGGCTGAACGGAATTACAAATCTTATGCCAGGTAAATTTCTGACTGGAGTTCAACGAAAAGCAGTAAGATAATAGTCAAGCAATTACTTTCGTGTTTGTCGGGATTTTTTTGGTATAGTAATATGACCCTAGATCGTGTGCAGCCCTGAAACCCAGGAGGAGTGCCTGTGTATCTGCAAACTTGAAACAAAAAAACCCAAAAGGGCGCAACACTAGGTGGGCTAACTGACCGGGTCGGGAGACCCAGGGAAAATGACAGGAGAATAGTGTGACAATGGGTGCACTGGGAAAAAGAGCAACCACAGGAATGGGGCCACGGACTAAGTCCTCATTCCTGTGGTTGCTCTTTTTCCCCCCCTTTTCTTCCTCGCCCACAGCCTCCTCTCCCCGTGTGGATGCACATCCCCTGGCTCACCAGTTCCAGGTAGATACCACGGATGACCAGATCCTTTGCACCGGCCGTCCATCCTCTGGTCCCGTGAAACGAAATGTAAGTGCTTATTCTTTTTCCTCAGCTATCCTTTGGTTTTTCGCCCAGTGCACCCATTGTCACACTATTCTCCTGTCATTTTGCCTGGGTCTCCCGACCCGGTCAGTTAGCCCACCTAGTGTTACGCCCTTTTGGGTTTTTTTGTTTCAATGGGCAACAAGGGCAATCATTTTCTGGAACATCATGTTCAGTTCCAAAAGCAATATTCATGTCCCAAACCAGGGCATGATCAATCTCAATGCATCTTAAAGGAAAAATAAAGTTGAACTCTATATCATCTAAAGTATCATCCAATAGTACTAATGATCCATGGATTATATTGTAATCTTCTTGATGTATAAACTAACATGTACTCATCAAAATTAACTTATATTGCACCTGTATGCCATATATCCAATTAAATATCTGCTAACTAAAGTCTTACTAAAAGGTCCCCACACACCTTACGATAATCGTACGATAATCTCGGGAAATCCCGCGATCGTACGATTATCGTAAGGTGTGTGGAAGCCGTGTGACCTCTACTACTGTAAGGTCGCATGACTTTAAACTTACGAACATGTTTCAAAACCCGCCGAGCGTCGTACGATGTTCGGTTTTCGTAAGATAAAAGCCGGACGGGCCGGTGTGCGCAAGCGCACACTGCCCGTTCGGCATTGCGGTCATCGGAAGCCCGCCCCTCAGGGGGCGTGGCTTGCGATCATCGCAAGTACGATCTGCCTATGCAAGATAGGCAGATCGTAAATTTTTTTAAGTACCTTACATCCATCGCAAGACAAAAGTCTTGCGATGGTTGTAAGGTGTGTGCCCAGCCGTACACATCAAAACGCCGGCTTCCTTGATTGATCCCAGCCATAGCTCCCCTCTCTCTGTATAGATTCCCGCCGCATTTACACACGCCGTCCAACATCGGCGTGTGACCATGCAGCTAGGACTGGGCATCCGTCTGCATATGCGTCCTCATATAGGGTGCATCTGAATGGAGGTGCCCCGCCCCTCCCTGCGATGCCACCTCCCTCCCAAGGTCTCTCTGTATGACAGGACGATGGCAGGAGCCTCCCAACACTGTCCCCTCTCACAACCACGCTAGGCAGAGCCCTACCTATGTCAGCGTGATGAGAGGATGTAACACCCTGGGAGAACAGCAATCACACCACCCCTCCCCCGACAAGGGGAATGGGGTGATATAAAGATGCAGACCGTCCCCCTATGTATGGTAAGGGGGTAGGCCCACCATTACCCATCCCGAATAGTGGGGATGACTCCCAGACAGGCAAACAACCACTCACCATCCAGAATGTCACCTTTTGGAACATGAAATAGCCATAATTTGAACAATCATAATACATTAATTTGAGCTATAAATAACATGATTAACCAAATATGAATATGTTGCTTCTTTGTGTATAATTAATTATGCCATACAATAAAACCAAAACCTTCGGAAAGAGCACAATTACAAAGTACTATTAATTATGTGAAAAATGAATGTGAATGTGTGAACAAGGTGTGCTATAATTAGCTATTTTCTCCAATTCAGAGATAGCTAAGATGTCATGTCAGTTAGAAACTCACACTGGTGCTATTCAATAAACCTCGCCTATGGCACCTGAGGTCTCCCCACTTAATTAAGCTAATCTCCTCCCCACAACACTGCACTCATGTGTGTTTTGTTAGAAAATACCACACAAAAACAAATCCCTCTCTAGTCTTAAGCTGGCCATACACCTTACAATTGTCTGCAGATATTCTGTAGTCAGATGGAAAAGGTGCAACAGATTCCTCCATTTACACTAAACTATGTGGATGGAGTAATCTCCACCTGGGCCAATCCGTTGCACTTTTTCCATCTGACCACAGAAAATCTGCAGATAATTGTAAGGTGTATGGGCACCTTTACAGGGACTCCAAACCCCCCTCCTTTCACTCACATTGGACAGCAGCTAAACTAATCCTCATACCTATAAAAGCCCCAAGAAGTAACATTCCCTAATAAAGTGATAGTCCTGTTATCTATGGGGGATATGAGGGGGGATATCTATGGGGGATATGATATCTATAGTCTACTTGGGTTTACATTGTTTTCTCATATTGACTGCCCTAGAGTTTGCTGGAATAATTTGAGTTGGTTCCTAGCATCTATATTATGCACTCACACCTGGCTGCATCCTAATGTTATACTATACGATTGATATTTGTTTGTAGATATCCTGAGGCAGAGATTGCGCTTCTCATATTTGATCGCCGTCGGTTTCTCTCTATCCTCTCTGTTGTCCTTGACTGTTTCTGGAGATGACTCCCCGACAGTGCGGATCCACTCACCACTAATGTCCCACTTATGGTATTTATGTATGTATTTAATTGTTTACATTTTGTTATTGGTCCGTTAATTATGTTTGAAACATTAATATACTGATTGGCATATTCATGTGAATCTTAAAGGTTACCTCCGACTTCCTGATGAAGCTTCGGCGAAATGCATAGAAGGCTGGACCCAGTACAGACTCGCAGTATATCTTAGTTTTATTATGACTATTTATAAAATTATTTATTATAATGAAATCGATTAAAATAAGTTCATTGTATCTATTATGCATGTATCATGCACATGTACAGAGTCGAGGGAGGTTTTATGCCGTTTGATCATGGATACTAGTGGGTATATTTTTATCATGTGGATCATGTAATCTTTTAATAAATAAATGTTATTTCACTGTGTAATTTTGTCATCACTATGTTATATTATCCCTAATTGCATTTTTTGACGCCTTAAAAGCCCCATCTATCTCCTTTTTTTGTAGGATTTTTTGGTAAGCTAACTAGGGATGTACCAGTTACCAGATACCAGTTCAGATACCAGCGCCGATACTTGGCATTTTCACCAAAACTACCAAGGTCGCAGAAGTTGCAGCTGTGACAGGGCCCTGGCGCTCCACCACTGTCCTGAAATCATTAAAGGAGAATTATGAGGCGAGTGATTTTCAGTCAGCCTCATAATCTGACCCGACCTGTGAAAATTAAACGGTCACAGGTCGGCTCAGTAGATCGGGGAGTGAACACATAGCGGCGCTCGCTCACTTTTTGATCTATCCGTGCAGAGAGCCGTGACTGTCACTCACGGCTCCCTGCAGGGATTCCCCCCCTCCCCTGTCCGATCCTCCAGCGCTGACTGTCGGAACGGACGGGGGAGGGGGCAGGTACAGCTGGCTCTGCCTCTAGATAGGCAGAGCCAGCTGTCACTCACGCAGCTGGGTGGATCCAGACAGAATTGTTGGGATACGTTCCGGCTGCCGTGTCTCAGTATACCGCGAGCTGTAGCTTGTGGTATACTGAGCTTAGGGTGACGGGAGGACGCTAGTTTGTGTTCTCCCGTTACCCTTAGGAGAACTATGGGGAAAAGCCCTAACCCCATAGTTCTCCTTTAAAATCATTCATCTGTATTGTTTTAGAAAAACGGTTACATGAAGCTAAACAAAAATGGATCAGTAATTGTATCTGTGAGCACTTGGACAAGTACTTGGTCTGGAAAAAATGGTATTGGTGCATCCCTAATAAATATATAACAAATCATACATTAAAACAGAGATGTACAAATCCCAGGAGCTCTGCATCCTTCTTATAAATGACAGCTGCCTCCTAACTTTTGAGTTTTTCTCTAGTCTAGTCTTGGAGCTGGAAAAGAATCAGTACTTGTACTTGTTTCAGGTACAGTACTTGGTATCTGAACATCCCTAAATCTAACACAGATTTGTATTATTTAAAGAAACATTTTTTCAAAATAGTCAATCATTTACAGCATAATGTAGATCATCCTACATATCGCATTGTGACTTATACCCATTTAATACATGTATCAATGTATGTGTGATTTACCATGCATGTTTCCATATAGCACTAATGTATACAGAATTTTAGGAGTCATCCACCTAACGTATAATTTTTAGGTAATTTCATGAGGTATAGGTTTTGTTTTTTTTAGAAATTGGTGGCTTCCCTTGATAGGGACATTAGATTAAGCAACAGTTTATTGTAATTATTACAGATATTTCTATACTACTGACAACTTTACGCAGCGCTTTACGTGCCAGTTAACCTTCCAGCATGTCTGTGTGGGAGGAAACCGGAGTACCCCAAAGGAAACTCACGCAAGCATGGGAAGAACATGCAAACTCCTTGCAGATAGTGACCTGACTGGGATTTGAGTTGGGGACCCTACACCACTGTGCTGCCCCAACAGTGGCCTTAATAATGAGAAAAATATGCCCTGATGTCTCAAGTGGCTTTCATGCAGTTTACTTTCTCTCTTTATAATTATAGCAGCTTTCCTGAACTTAGTAGAATTATTCATGCAAACAACATGAACCTGTTGCTTTATTTACAGGGTCCTCTGAAAGGTTTCTTGGAAGCTCTAGGAAAGTTACAGAAGAAGTTCTACCATAAAGGAATGAGAATGAACTGTCCCATACGCACATATTTGGTTACAGCTCGTAGTGCAGCCAGCTCTGGGGCTCGAGCACTAAAGACCCTGCGTAGCTGGGGCCTGGAAACTGATGAGGCCCTCTTCTTGGCTGGAGCCCCAAAGGGACCTCTGCTGGAGAAAATCCGCCCGCACATATTCTTCGATGATCAAATGTTCCATGTGGAAGGAGCTTCGGAGATGGGAACAATAGCAGCACATGTCCCATATGGTGTGGCACAGAGGCACAAACACACGCCAAAAAATGCAACATCCTCTGCCAAGTGAGACTGATGTACCATGCTATCCTATTACATTTTCTACCTGGATTATTATTATTTATATCTTTATTTAATCTTGTGCACATGGAAATTTATGGGAATCCTTATATATTGTTTTCACTGGTATTTATAATAATGTACGATGAAACAGAATCTATAAACAAAAGGCCAATAGGGCATTAGCTAAATGCTAACAAAGTTGTCATCTCTCCATCTTCCATGGCTGTGTGCTCAAAATAATTTTATGAATGTCATATGTGAAAATTTATTTTGTCACTATGTCACAAACAGTGTCGCCTTTTAATCCTGACTTGAGAAGCCTTATGGTTATTGTTTTATTATGTTACGTTCCATAATCATATTTCTTTCTGCTAACAAAAGATGGGGCTGTAACTTGTGTGGGTGTGTTCATTTACTGTATCTTGAGATAGTATCTTTTCTAGGTGTTTAACTCTTGGTTTGCACTCCGACCCTTACTTTTTTCCCTTGCCTTTGCTAAAACTTGGGTAATTGGCCATAACAGTAGCTTTTTCCTCTCCCTTCAAATTAAATGATGTCAGCTGCCAGCAAAAGCTTGCTTCCTACTAAAAATCCACTCTGAATGCTGCTAGGGGGAAAGCAATACATTAAAATACCTTTCTTATTCTTTGCTCTCACAGGCTTTTCCTCTCCCTGGGGGACGATCCTCCAAAGCCGCTTAAATTTTGATGTTATCAGGCAGGACCAACAATCCTGCACTGTATGCTAGAGCAGCGAGGGAGTGGGAGCAGTGGACAGTGTAGAAGAGCAACTGGGAGTGTTATACAGTGTAGGAGAGTGACTGGCAGTGTTTGAGCGAATGGGAGTGTTGGACAGGGTAGGAGAGCGACTGGGAGTGTTGGACAGTGTGGGAGAGCAACTGGGAGCATTGGCCAGTGTAGGAGAGCAACTGGGAGCGTTGGACAGTATAGGAGAGCGTTTGGGAGCATTGGATAGTGTAGAGGAGTGCCTGCTACCAGGAGAGGAAGGAACAAGTTAAGTATTTGTACTTATGGGTAAACTTAACAGCAGCCCAGTGTGGGGTGTTGAAGCAAACCGTTGCTTTGTTTTTACCAGGCAGAGCAAAGCAATAGGTTTAATTTCGGAGGCAGTGAGCAGAATAGCCGGGCGAACTGCAGCGAGTGAACTGCCGGAGCTTTGGCTCAGCCGATCCAGATGTTGGATCAGCTGAGTCGAACGGCTTCTGCATTTCGGCTCAGCCGAACATGCACAGCATGTTCGGCTGACTAAAAGGCAGCCGATATACAGCTGAAATCAGCTGTACTGAGCTGAAGTGAAAGACTGAAGTACTCCCATCACAACACAATCCCTGATGGAGGGGGTGTGTTTTGGACCCCTGAAATGCATAGGCTACTTTTCTGGAATATCCCCTGACCCTAATAGAGTAAAGTTGTACCTGGACTATTTTAACTAGTGTAATGACAGGGTTCTCAAGCAAGCAGGGCTCATATTGTCAGCATGAATTCACAGATGATTTGAGGATCTATAGCCGAATGATACACAAATAAGGTCCAGTATTGTTAATCGTTAAGGTACTTGAATGCATTTTTAAGGTTTAACTCCTGAGTTTGTCAAATTAACTCATTGCAATTATTTTGGAAAATGACAATAAAAGTTACCTCTCCCAGTCCCCCAATAACACCCTTGGTTTGATTTCTACTGCTTGCAGGTGTCTGAATTGAATCTTTATCTGCAGTCTGAATATGACCAAGTTTACAATGACAATGACACCTAGTAAAACAACAATGTGCCTGAACAATGCTACTTTTTAAAACACGCACTGGATAAGCATTGCAAATTAACAAATTAGAGGGGAGGTAGCAACATGGAAAATCTTAATCAGTGCACTGTGATTTTTCTGTATGCCTTGGTCTTTGCTAAATGTTTGTTGCAATTTTACATGTTTTGTGCCTTTATGTGACCTGGATTGTACAATGGAATTTATAGTCTTCCTGTGAATGTCACCTATAGTATGTACTGAAGCATCGTGATATACATATTTTTGAATAAACAAAAAAATGAGCTGCAGTGTGAATGTGATTAAAATGTTAGTGGTCTTGATTTGCTAAACTGTGGTAAAGCCAGCAATAGACATTGGAGGTAAAAGTTTGTTGACAGGAACTTTTATTGAAAATATTTTTCCATAAACAAAAATGTGGTGAACATCCTTTTTGTGCTTTTTTTTCCTGAAAAGAATTGTAGAGACACATCCAGGGATCTATTTATAAAAGTTTCTACCCAACATTCACACAACGTCCACTCAGGGTTTATATCACTTCTTTTTTCCCCCCAGTATAAATATCCAGCAAAAGGAAAAAACATTGCTAAAATGGTACCCTGTTCCTCAATGCTGCTGCTTTCTCTAAAAGGCTGACCTATCCTCAGGGCCAGATTCTCCACAAGGCCACGGCCTCGCTGCGGCAGAGAGTAGAGGGGCAGCACAGCTTATCAGTGTTTACATACAAGCGGTCTGGCGGCTGTGGAGCCGCCTGATTGGTTGTATGTGGTGCTGCTCGGTGCTCCTTCCGCCAGTCCGGAGCTCCGCTGGGCCCGGAACCGGCACTGGCGGCTTGTGTACCGATCTCCCTCTGATCGTCTCCCCATTCTCTGGATTGAGGAATGGATATATATTACTCTCCGGCTAAAGAAGCCAGAAAGAAGCTAGTGCAGCAGACCTCTGCTTTATCAGCTTCTTTGGGGGACCCTAGGTGACATTAGGGGGTCTTAGAGACCCCTGATGTCTCCATAAAGTGGACCTGTCACTGTAAATTGGCTATCACTGCACAAAGCCCCCCTCCAACTGCGCCACACCCATGGTGCCAAGATCCCCAACCACTGCAGGTTTGGAGGGGAGGGTGCCATTTTGAGGAACCTGGCCTTGGGGCTGCAGGGAGAGTAAATCTGGCCCTGCCTAAACCCGGTCACTCAACATGTACTCACAGACACAAAGGTGCTGTGAGCTGGAACATAACAGTGACATGAGACTCCATAGAGCTGGAACCAGAATCAGGAGGTGATGAGTGCAGAGATAGTCAAGCAGAGTCTCAGACTGTAGGTGCAGTAGACACTGTCTGTGCTGAGGTGATGCAGCAGAGACCACTGGTGTATCTGAGGTGCTGCAAGTCCATAAGGACTAGGAGCAATGGAACTGTAAATGTGGCACCTGTCTGTTTTCCTCACCTGCACTAAATTGCCACTGAGGCAAAGCGTAAAACCTGGGGCCTACTATAGGTTCCGGAAGGTGTAAGAGAGGAATCTGGGCGACACATAAACCCCGGACAGGACCTCTCCTTGCTCTCTACATGATGACCTGCTACACTGTGTAAAAACTGTAGTGTGAGGCACCGGTAGCATTGCAAGCACTGGTAGGCAATTAGTACTGGTAACAAAGTCGCACTGGTAGCATTGGTAACAAAGTTGCATTGCTATTAAGGTTTGCACTGGAAGCAAGGTTGCACTGGAAGTGTGGTTACACTGGTAGCAAAGGAGTTCAGGTAGCATTGACTTAATGCTTGAGCATGTTGCAACACATAGCCTACAAAGGACTACTCGTAATGGAGAAAGTATGGAGCAGGTGCTCAACAGTTTATAGAGAGAGAGAGAGAATTCTACATGGGCGATGGACTCAGATCATTGCCCACAGATGAGAAAGCCATCAACATGCTCAAGGTGTACATTCTGAAGCCAATCTTAGAAAGAATAAATGAAAAAGAGTCTAATTAAGTGAGTCAGATCCCTCTGGTGTTGTTTTGAAGTAAAACAGTACTACCCCAGTCAATGATCTCCCTCACTGGGTTGGAAACCAAGAGGAAGAGTTCAGTTAGAGTGAGCCTGACCCGCATAGATAGTTTGAGCCAATTAAGGAATTATCTTGGCAGGGTAAAAATGATGTGGGCTCGCGTAGGAGATCCACAGTCCCCTGATCCCCTCAAAATTTGCATACGAGTGTGTCAAAAGTGTGGTCAACTGTTCCATTAACCATCGTGTCTATGGTGCGATTTTTAACTTCCAGAAAACTAAGCATAGGGGATTTCCAGGATCTGGCAATAGTTTGTTTGGTAGCCATAAATATATGGGAAATTAATTTCTGCTGTCGTTTAGAAATACGTGTGATAGGCTTATGCAAAAGTGCCTCCCACGGGTTTTTACATAAATTGCACCCCACTACAGTGTTTATTAAGGCATAGACACGGATCCATAATCTTTTAACCTTAACGCAATCCCACCAAATATGACACATATTTCCTGTTACCTCACAGCCCCGAAAACATAAAGGAGAATAAGATGGGATGATTTTATGTAGTCGGGCTGAAGTGTAGTACCATCGAAGCAGTACCTTATAAGAGTTTTCCATTGCTAATGTATTTCTGGAACAAGACGCTGTACTGCTCCAGTTTGCAGTCTAGTCTTCATCCGAGATGGGGAGCCTAACGCCTCCACCCATTTGGTCTGATATGAAACATTACCACAGGAGAAGTGTGCGAATAGAGAGGATTGCAGTAAAGAGATCACAGATGGAGAGTGAGGGTCCTTTCGGCATCTGTGTTCAAAGGGAGTAAGAGAATAAGGTGGAGTAACACAACGGCACAATCTGTGGACGTAATTTCGTAGTTGGAGGTACTGAAATAATTCTGATTGTGGTATTTGAGAAGATGTCTGGAGTTGGGCAAATAAGAGAATTACCCTGGGGTGTGAGTAATGAAAATACATCCTGAAAGCCTGATTTCGTCCACCACGAGAACACTCCTGAGCTATCCAATCCCTGCGTGAACAAAGGGCATTGGGTGAGCGACAAAAGAGGGAGGTATGGAGAAATTAGTTGGCCAGAATATTTAACAGAATCCCAGATCCGCAAAGTATGTTGCATGATCAATCCCAAGCTAGAAGGGCATGATGAGGGTGGGAGCCAAGGCAGGGTGGATGGGTGGGAAAAGGGTGGGAATCCAACACATCAAGAGAGGCCCACAGGGGTATCTCAGACCTTGAAGATAATAGAGCTAAGGGGGCGATTTGTGCAACTTTGTAGTAATTTGAAAGATTAGGCACTCTTAGGCTCGGTTCACACCTGGGCGTTTTGTAGCGCGCTCCTACGCTCTGCAAAACGCTCAAACACCGAAATCCCATTATTTCCTATGGGTTTGGTTCACACCTGGGCATATTACCTGGCAAGTGGGGTGAGTAGAGGGACACTCCACCAAGGTGTGCTGATGGCCTGGGTTGGACACAAGTCCTTTGATACCTCTGTGGTCAGGGTGGACAACTCGGATGATCTTCGTACAGTAGTTATAGTTTCCTCTGTGCTATTTCCTGGTGAGTCATAAGTGAGTCTCTGACACAGAAGCACCATTTCCACTAACCA